TGTGCTTGGCTAGAGGATGAAATCAGTTCTCTTAAGAAGTTGCTTGGTATAAGCAGTGTCAGTGTTAAGGAATTTATTTGAATCTTTTTATTATTGTCTATTGTAATCAGACTCATTTGATGTATTAATTGCTTTTAAAGGGATGAACTTAATCCCTGCATCCTGAGCCTTCCTCTTCAGCGTGCCAATTGGATAATAACATGCACAGTCTTGACTCCCTCTGTCTGTCTGTCTGTCTCTCTCTCTCAAATATTTTTTTTAGTTGTAGATGGACACAATATCTTATTTTTATTTATTTATTTTTTTTGTGGTGCTGAGGATTGAAGCCAGTGTCTCACACATGCGAGGCAGGTACTCCACCACTGAGCTACAGTCCCAGCTCCTATCTCCTTCTCTTTTATTGGATCAATTCCTAATTCCTTTATCTTCCTTTAGAATTGTCAGATCTTTAAGTCGTCTTTTTTCTTTCTATAAAAGTTTAAGTCGTCTTATTGCCTAATATTAAAGTGAATTTTGTAAACCTCTTTTGTGATCTGTTGCTTTTTGTCTTGTCAAAAACATTCTTGGTCTGGGGCTGCAGCTCATTGGTAGAGTGCTTTTCCCAGCATGCCCGGGGTTCCATTTGTGTTTTTATCACTCCATTGCAAAAATGACAACAACAAAATAAAAACAAAAATTAAAACAATCTTTATTCTCAAATTCTTGATGAGGTAAGTTTAAGCAACTATCCTTCTATATGCTGGCAGTATTTAAATTTTTGGTTATTAATATAGGTGTGGCCTATTAATACTTAGAGGGTTGGTGAACCAGCCCAATTCTGTTTATATATTACTACTTCCAGAGGGCTTACTATTGAATTTGAAATAGTTTGGAAAATGCATCCTCACTTTGTTTTATAATTTAGTAATTTCTTATAATAGAATCATTTGAAGTTAGGTGTTTTTATTTTAGTCAACTTTTGAATATGAGTGATTGCTACTAATTCTTAGTAAATGTAGCATGTCTAGATTGATTTAATTTTGCATTTTTAAAAATCAAGTCAATTTTAATATATAAGGGTTGTAAGACAAAGTAGGGGAAAACATGAAAAGGGTGGAGGTAATTACCTTCTTCTAAATTAAAAAACATTTTACTTTTAGCACTTGGATTTAGATGTATGAGAAGTGGAACAAGAATTGTTCCTGAAAACAAAACTGTAAAGTCATGTTTTGAATACCCAAAACCACTTCCACGTAGTCACAGTTGTTTAGTTACCTAATGCTATAAAACAAATTATGTAACATTTAATAATGCAGTTCTTTAAGCCTCACAGTTTCTGTAGGTCAGGAACCAGGCATGGCCTTACTAGGGCCTCTCACAAGCTGCAGTCAAGATTTCAACTGGGGCTGCATTCATTTCATCTTGATTGGGGAATGGTCTAGCCTCCAAACTAGTGTTCTTGATGTTAGGGTCCAGATCTTGATTGTCCAAATCCTAATGTTGTACAGAGATCTTTCTTGGTTCTTTGCTATATGAACTTCTCTCTGGGGTGGTTCACATCATGGCAGCTGCCTTCATCAAAGTGAGCATGCAGGAGGACAACAGAAGACAGAAGAGGATTAGCAATGTGGATACCACAGACTTATGGAGCATATGTGAAAGCAACACCCATAACTTGCCTTAATGTTATTTTTTAGAAATATGTCACTTAGGTCCTGCTCACTATAGTGAAGGGTATTTTAGATAGGAGTTATCTGTGATGCTGCTTACTGCAGTTGTGTAGATTTGTGTGTTTTAGAGCAAAGAGAAGTGCTCAGTTCTCTGTAAGACATGTAGACATTTAAAGGCTTATTTGCTAAGTTTGCTTCTGTTTTTTCCCATGTGCCTCATTTCATTATTTTGCATCCTTCCCAATTCGCAGAACCCCTTGCAGTTCATACTTCTGCTCTTTCCCTGTCTCCTGCTCAGATTGCTGCCATCCTGCTCTCCTGCCTCCCCTTTGTTTATCTCTTCCTAACTTGCCTTTTCAGTCCCTGTTGTTTTCACTGATAAAAATTAATTGATCTTCGTACCACTACTTTGGGAATACATATGGAGTTCTAGTACTTTGGGGGCTTCCTCTAGCATCTGTTTAGGATTTATTTTGATTACGGAAGAATTATATTTATATCAATTGTTAATGGCGGGAAAAATGGATGATTCTTGGTAACGTAGGGACTTGAGCTCATTGGTGTGTATTTTTTTTTAAATACTTTATTTAGTTGTCGATGTATGTTTATTTAATTAATTTTTTTATATGTGGTGCTGAGAATTGACCCCAGTGCCACACACATGCTAGACAAGTGCTCTACCACTGAGCCACAACCCAGGCCCTGGTGTGTATTCTTTTGAGACTTGTTTTGATTGCTACTTTGAAGTAGAATCAATTCCCGTCCCCTCGGTAGTACTGGGAATTGAACCCAGAGCCTTGTACATGCTAGGCACTCATTCTGCTCCTGAATTACATCCCCAGTCCAGTTTTGAATTTTATTTTGAAATGGGTTTCGCTAATTTGTCCAGCAGGCTTGAATTGTGATCTTTCTCAGTCTGCAAACTAGCTGGAGTTACAGGCTTGCACTGCTGTGCCCATCTAAGAATCTCCACTTTTTAGCACTTTTCTTCATGTTTGCTGTATCATTGTTTCCTTTTGAAGAATTTAGCCTAGAAACAGCTTTGTTTATTTGCTCATCTGCTTGTTCTGACTTTGCATATTATGACAACCTGTAGTGAAAGAAAGGATCTTAGAAATCATCTTTGAAACCTTGAGCTCAAAGGCTGTTGCTTTGAATTGGCAATTTGACAAATTGTGGAAAAGACTATTTGCAAATGGAACTTGGTACTTTCAGAAGCTGTTGCTAGGATATCCCTGTTCTGTGCTAGGATATTACCCAAGTTTTGAATAATAATTTCCAAGCTTGTGTGGAAAAGGATGAACATTTAAAAATTAAAATTTTTAATCTTCGTGGTTTAAATTACTCACCTCTGTTCATCTCTCGTTCCTGTCCTTCTTTCTTCCTTTCTTTCTTTCTGGGAATATAAATTTCATGAGGTGACACCTTCTGCTGACCTTTGTTTTTTTTTTTTGGGGGGGTAGACAAAGGGGTAATGGATGTGGACTCCTATTTGCTCTAACTCCCTTCAAAATAGAGAATAATAATAATAGTAATAATAATTATTATTATTATTGTTGTTGTTGTTGGAAAGGATACAACCCATCAGGATGGAAACTATTTCTCATCTTTGGCTAGGACATTACCGAGATGAAAACAAGAAAAAAGTTCTTCAGTATTGTCTCTTGCATAGTTTACGTTAATTTTCAGTATTTCTTCTGTGATTTGACAGCTATTTTCACTAGGTGTGATGCCATCAAATTTACTTTTTGAGAACTTTGTATATGGCGGACATTGTGTAAGGCACTCATTGACAATCTCTGTCATTGTCTCAGCAGCCTGAAAAATATTTCCTTCATCAATTAAAAAAGTCAAAAAAAAAAAAAAAAAAGTAAGGCCCAGGACAATTCAATAATATATCCCAAGGAACAGTGGAATCCTCTTGTCATGCCTTCTTACCTGGCCTACTGCTTAGCTTTGATCTGGGCTCTCTCATTTCACCCTCTTTTCCTTTAGTCCTTGTATGTTAACAGACCCCAGAGGCACACCAGGATGCAGTGCTGCTGCTTGTAACTATTTCTCTTTGGAAAAACTTAGGCATCTGTGCATATATTGTTATGATATTGTTTTATTAGAAAATAAATGAAGGCCTGAAAAGCGTGTGGGAAATAACCCATGTCTGTGAGACAGAATTACAGAGCTATTTAACGGTAGGTTAAAATTATGCTGAGAAACATAGAAATTATGTTTGGGAAACCAGGATTCATTTTAGTAGGCAGAGTTTAGTTTTTCTTTCATTACCATTGGGGTATAGCTTATAAATTGGAAAGTTAATCTTTTATTGTGAAGGAAGAAAGCAAATGTTTGTGCTTTTTGGTGTGTGTGTGTGTTTTCTGTTCCTCTGAGAAATTTAATTTTAGGTGTATGACTTTTTATGTTCAAAATCAATGATTAAATATTATCTCAAACTTCTTAGTTTCCTGTCTAAGTAATGGCAGTTGAAAAGAAAACATAATTAGAGGAAATAAGAGGGGGCATTTTTGTGTGTAAAAGCCGATGACCAGAACCAAGAATGATGGAGTTCTTAATTCCCTATCACTGATGCTTTGATCTTGTGCAAAACTGTACTGTATTTTGCTTGAAAGGTTGCTTAGCATTTCTTTGGTTGAAACTAGTTTAAAGTTCTCATTGGTTTAGGAGCAATGATGCCTACATTTCTGAGAACTATGATTTTTGAAGACATTTAAATGGCATACTATGAAATATTGTTAAAATTAACAGAGGTTAGGAGATTTTATTTCCTTTCTCGTAATGGACAGAAAACATTTCTGTCTTTCCAAAATCTTGAAATAGGTTAGTGTTGTGGTTGGGAAATGTTTCAATAATAGAATCTTTGTGTATTAAGAAGTGAATTTTGCCTCTAGCATTCCATAGCCGGGGTTCATAGCTGGGTTCATGCTCCAGTGTCAGTAGGTAGTACACATGTAGTTAGCAGTGTTTTAATATTTGTAGGTACTTTCTTATTCAACAAGAATCCTCTTAGCAGGCAGTAGCTAATAGGGCCAATATTAGTTTGCTTCCCTTCCCTTCCCCTTAAAAATCTTGGCATAGGCTAAGTGAATAATTCTAGATATTTATGCTGAGCCTCTATTGGATAGTCTGATCAGTGTCCCCTTTTGCCTTAGACCTTTTTATGTCTTTTACCAAATATACAGTAGTGCTTTGACCATAGCTGTATAGTCAGAACACTTTGATTAAAGACCTTCAGGGCACATGAATATCTTCAGTACCCTTGTCTGAAAGAAAGTGTTGACTGCTGTACTTTCATCCTTTATGAATTCTTTAAAAGCATCTATTATTTTTAATTTGCAGCAGCTCTTGCCAGGTAAAAAGTTTTGGGAAACAGATGAATCCAGCAAAGATGGACCAAAAGGAATATTCCTGGGTGATCAATGGCGAGACAGTGCCTGGGGAACATCAGGTAATCTAGATCTAGCATCTGTACTGTGATTTATGCCTGTCTTAGAGCTCCTTTCCTCAGCAATTGGCAAGTCATGAATTTTACATCAGCGACATAAGCATGTCAAGCAAATGTCCTGTTCTGTAGTATAACTGCCATTAAGGAGCTTATATGATGTAATATATTAAAATGATTAACAAAATCAAATCTTCAAAATTTTCTGAAGTGATAGCCACATAGAAATGGTCTTATTTAAAATGACCATAATTTTAGCTATCACTTTTTATTTTGTACTGCTGTCAGCATACTTGGAATTAGAAAGGCCCTTGCCTGCCATTTGAAGTTTATGTCCCCCCTTCCTATCTTGCCCCTGTATACCATATATGGGATGATCAATCTTTATATGTGATTGGGGCCAAATAAATTCGCTGAGCATAGATATTCTTGTGATAGTCTACCCCTGAAGAGGGGTGGGGAGAACTTGTAGAGACACTGACAGCAGAAAGAAATGAAACATGTTAGGAAGGAAGGAGACAACCCCAAATCTGATGTGCTTATAGCACACTGTTAGAAAGGAACCTCATGATGCCAGTGATTTATCAGAAAAGATAAAGTTATATTGGTTTTAAAAAGGGAAGTAAAATCACATTGTTTTAGTGATATTACCAATAAAATATATTAAAGAAATGCTGCTACTTGAAAGGGGTAAACATTAATTTATCCACTCAGCTAGAAGAACCAGTTATGTGAACTGCTGTATTCCTCTGTTGTCCTGGGTAAATGAGGGGGTGTGTTTTGTTTCTTTAGTTTATGTAGAGTATCAATACTTAGTGAAAGACGCAACAGAATATTTTGGCTCAGCTCACCATAACAGGTTTCCTGATTCCCAGACATTGGTTTATCCATGAGACATCGCTCATAATTTGTTTGGGCCTCTGGCTGCACTGTATCATGCTTGTGTATCTTTTTTGTAGATCATTCAGTTTCCCAGCCAATCATGGTGCAGAGAAGACCTGGTCAGAGTTTCCATGTGAACAGTGAGGTCAATTCTGTACTGTCCCCTCGATCGGAGAGTGGGGGACTAGGCGTTAGCATGGTGGAGTATGTGTTGAGCTCATCCCCGGGCGATTCCTGTCTAAGAAAAGGAGGATTTGTAAGTTGGCTTGAGGAACTTGTTCCTTTCTCTTTCTCTCTCTCTCTCTCTTTTTCCCCCTAAAGCAAAACATGCCCATTTAGTTTCTTTAGATATTCACATCACTAATTACAGGGTATTTAAAAAGATTTTCATTGTAAATAGAGCTCAGTGTATAGTAGGAGATGTAAGATGTAAACTAAACTTTGAAAAATAGAGAAGTATTTTTTTTTCCGGGGTAGGGGGTCGACCCATTGATAGTAAGGTGAGATAAGAACTGAAGTCTGTATCTTAGTTCATTGGCTTACCAGAAAACATCATTCTTAGTTTAAAACAAAAACAAAAAGCAGAAAAGAGAGGGAATGTAAAAATGAGTTGAAGCTAGGTATTGGTGGGGAATTATAGATCTGAGAGCAGTGATTTACTGATACCCAAGGAACTTTAAAATGAACCAGATAAGTAGGATCATTCTTGTTTTGCAAGCTGGGCTTTAATTATAGACTCACCTTTGGCCCTCCTTGAATAGCTTTGCTTCTCACAGCTGGCCTGTCAGGAAATTAGATGTCTAGTAATTCTTTATTTACAGTAGTTTTTAAAAATTCACTGCCACTGACCTCTTTGCTAAATGGTAGCCAAAGCAGCCTCTTTGCCTATAGCCTCTTTCTGTTAAATCTTGGCAGTTTTCTCTAGCATCTTTGATAGCCTTTCCTGGACTGTTTCTTTCTTTATATCATTGACTTTGTAGTGCTAGAAGTCTTAAGATGCATTTCCATTTGAGTCTTTCTTGTTTTCTGTTCTGTGACTGGTTTTATGTTCTAAGTTCCAGCTAGGAAGGCCTCAAGAAACATGATGAATCTGTATTGCTGCTTCTCCTGACCCAATTTGTTTGGTACCTTTCCAAAACCCCTTCTTCTTAAAGCCACTTGGGGCAAATACCACCAGATGGCAAGCATTTTCTCCAAATCATATTAGTAATTTTGCGTTCATAACCATCTTACTTCCTTTGTTTGAAAGCATTTGTTACTCAGTATTTTTAGTTTCCTGTGTCTGTTCTTAGATACTAGAGGTATGGTCTTATTTTCCTCCATGTAGCTTCAAACTTCTTAGAATAAAAGCAGTTCAAGGGTTTAGCTTCCTCAAGTGTCAAGTACAGTTCTTGAGTACTAGCCATTCTAAAACTGACCTGATTGCTTCTGGGTCTTTTGACCCTGCAAAGATCAAGTTAGGTTTAGTAGCTTGTGTATCAGATAGACAATGCTTCTTGATTTGGAACCTCCCAAGGGGCTGCTTAGGAAGAAGTTCTAGCCTTTGATTATTTGGCTTGATCCCATTGCTCACAGGAACAATGAGTTAGTTCTATTTTTCACTGTCTTCTCCAGTTTACCTCTCTTTCTGGTCTCACACTTTCCTCATTTTATGAATACAGGTTCTGCAGAAGAAGTGCTGCATTCTAAACACAGTCTGTAACTTTTAGGTATTTGCTGAAGGACAAAAATTAGTGAGTTGTTAGTGGAGTGAACTGGAATCTTTGTGACTCTGGCTGTGAATTCTCTGTGTGGCCAGTTTCTAGTTCAAGGGCATTAGCCATAAGGCATGCACCTGGATAAAGTGAATTTTAGAGGAGGCAGACAACTCATTGGGATCGGAAGGAAGAGAAAATGGTGGGACTGAGTTAACGCCAGTTTCTCCACTAGTTTTCCTTGGTTAAAGGATCATTTTACTAGAAATGGTTTTTATGACAAAAACTAAATATTATGGATTCAATATCTTATATTTGTTTTTGTAAAGGTGAGTTCCATTCTTAGTTGTTAGGGGAGACTTCGTAAATTTCAGCTCTTTCAAAATGTGACCAGAGGAGATTAGACTTCAGGATAGATGAGGTCAGAAGATTGAACTCTAACAATCAGATAAAGTAAATTATCTGAAGTAAGCTTCTGAGGTAGGCATACAGATAAGTGACAATTCTCCAAATCTGTGATCTAGTTTCTTCTCGGAAGGAAGGTTGTGTGTACTGAAATATTAGTCCATATTTTGAGTTGCATCTAGAGAGTGCTAAAGGAGGACTGAACAGTGGCATCAAGCCACCATGCTGGCATGTACAGTTTTCCGGTGGATGGAGTCCTGAAGATCAGTGATGTACTAACCACATTTGGGGTTGTATCCTACTGATTTTATACCTAATTGACTTTTCTCTGCCTGTTGATCAGGATGACACCTAATCAAAGTTATGTGCATGGAAACCTGAATCACTTTATGGTTGTCATGGTACACATGCATCTTCTTAAAAAAGGCGAGCATTTTCTCCCTTCTCCCTCCCTCTCTCCCTCCCTTCCTTCTTTGCTTCCTTCCATTCCATCCCATCCCATTCCATCCCATTCATTCAAAGTGTTGAGTTCAGAGAAGAGGGACAATGGGATATTTGCTTATTGTAGAAAATTTTCTAAAGAGTGGAGCCTTGGTAGTTTATGGGTCACAGCATCCATTTATTTTTCCTTTTGAATGATTCTACAAACATGACTTCCAGTGAGCCATGGAGAAACTCCGATTTACTTCCCCAAGAGCTGAAAACACTATCTCTGATGGCATAGTAATTGTAGATTCAAAGCGAGTCCTAAGAGGGCATTCTTAGCTGTGACACAGATCACCAAGACTTGAACTTTTTAGGTGAAGATGGTTCATAACTAAAGAAATCTATTCTGCAAAGGTTTTCCATTTTCAGTGAGGTTTCCTCTTTTATAGTTGAAATGAATATATTTGGCTCTTTGTCTACCTTCCTTGAGCCTTCCTGAGTTTGTTTTGATTGAACAAATGGCTTCAGTTTAGTAGTTTTGGTTCCTGTGATAAATCAGAATAAGAATCATCATCTTAGCACTTAATGTAAATTCTTATCATTGTGCATAATGAATCCCAACCTTCAGAGCAATACTTATTGGAATAGTAGGAAATCTCATAATACCAATCAAGTCTTTAACATTCCTTTCCTTTTTGTATCCTTTATTTATTCCTGGTATAAGACAGATGGCTTCTTCAATTCCAAACCTAGTATAGAGAGTTACAAAAATCAGATTTTTTAAATTTTTGAGGCCTGTGGTAAAATTGCTCATCTAAGGAGCTTGCTGTTGGTCTTCTTGAATGCCAGCTGATCTTCAAATAGGTTGATGCCTAGCCAGTCTGAACAGTGGATCATAATTTCCACCTTGTTTGTTAATGGTGTGTAGGGAAATGAGAAAACCATATTAAAGTTTTGTTAGGGCAAAGACCATTCCAACCTTGTAGAAGAAAGTGCTTTAAAAAACACATCTTTCCTTTACTTGTTCTGTAGAGTGACTGCTTTCTGACTTGGAGGATGCATCCACAATTATAGCAATTCATTTGGGTTACAAAACTTGATAATTTGCTTTTCTAGGTTTCACTGCATTTATTTTAGGTAACCATTGCTGCTTTATTTTGATTTTTGTATAAAAACTTGCGACAGTGTACTACAGATGGAAATGAGGGATTTGAGTCTCAGTTGTACCTTAATTTCCTCATCTACAAAATAGGGGTAAATAAAACCCAAGAAAGTCTTAATTTGTGTGACTGTGTAATACATATGGAAATGCTTTACCTTCTAAAGTTTTGCTCTTCAGAGCCAATATACCAATAGCATTAGTGTCCTTCGGGAGCATAATGGAAATGCAGGCCGTGCCTAACACCTACTGAATCAAAACCTACATTTTTGTTAAAGTACTATGCTTCAGTGATATATATGCATATTAAGTTTGATGAGCACTGCAATAAGAGTCTTGGAGGATTAAGTCATTAGGAGGTTATGAGAAACATACAAGGTAGAGTCTCTTCTGATTTGGCCATGCCTTAAATTACATGCTCTATTTTAGTTTCAGGTTTTTATATACTGACTAGATAACTTAAAAAACAAATAAACAACTTTTTTCGGGGAGGTCTTTATCTTTAATAAAAACAAACACCACTTTCCATATGTAAGATGTTTTCTTTTTATTCATGGATATCACAGCAGAGGTGACCGCTCTTATCTTTCTGCACATCAGGAATTGGGTGATTCTGTATACACTGCCTGGAATAGGCAGTGTTCTACAGTCTGTATTCCTCTACTTTTGCTCATTCTGAAGTTGGGATGCTTATTTCAAGTGATAGTATGTCATCCTTTAATTTTTAGTGTTTCCCTTTTTTTTTTTTTTGGAGCACACAGAATGATTGTGCCTCAGATTTGATGAAGTGTATAGTTGGTGGCAGGTTGATCCATATACAAGTTTCAGAAAATCCTATTGCACAAAGCATTTAATTATTAGAGCCGGAACAGTTTCTTTTGGAGTCTAGGGGACAGGATGTTGATCCGTTTTTTAAGCCTTTGGAAGTGGGATTGAGGTCTCCACTATCCCTCCATGAAAAAGGAAGTGGGTAAAAATTGGGGAAGACACTTTTAAGGATTTTTCTTTTTTCCTTAAAAAATGAGTTGTAGTGCTGGGCAGGGTGGCACATGCCTGTAATCCCAATGGGTCTGGAGGCTGACACAGGAGAATTTCGAGTTCAAAGACAGTCTCAGCAAAAAGCGAGATGCTAAGCAACTTAGTGAGACTGTGTCTCTATATAAAATACAAAATAGGGCTGGGAATGTGGCTCAGTGATCAGTGCCTTTGAGTTCAATCCCCCATACCAAAAAAAAGAAAGAAAGAAAGAAAAAGAAAAAGTTGTAATTTTATGAATTGCTTTATTTAATCCCTTGAACAATCCTTTAAGGTATTGTCTCCATTAATTTATACATGAGAAAAACAAGTTCGAGGGGCTGGGATTGTGGCTCAGTGGTAGAGCGCTTGCCTAGCATATGTGAGGCACTGTGTTCAATTCTCAACACCACATATAAATAAATAAATTAAAGGTCCATTGACAACTAAAAAATATTAAAAAAAAAAAAAAACTCAACAAGTTCAATATTAAGAAACATGGGTGGCCTGGGTTCAAACTTTGGTTTTAATTTCAATTCAGAACAGTATTGCTTTCTACTGTGCTATTCTGGCTTATGAGTTATGTTCCTTATAAAAGGACCATGTTTAGTTTTTGTAATACTAGGAATTGAACCCAGGACCTCACACATGCTAGTCAAATGCTCTACCATTGAGCTACACCCCCCGATCCTTTTTTATTTTTATTTCAAGACAAGGTCCTTGCTAAGTTGCTGAGGCTGGCCTTAAAGTTGCTATCTTCCTTCCTCACCTCCAAGTTATTAAGATTACAAGTGCACACACCCATGCCTAGCTGTGATTACATTTAACATGTTAAATTTAGAATTCTTTTTAAATGGCCAGTTTAGAACTTTTACTCATATTTTTTAGTTCTTGAAATATTTTATTAGTAGTGGAACTGTAAACTCTTGTACTTTAAAAGAATTTGGCATTTCAGGTTTTTTTGCATTTTGCGAAAAACTTAAGAGCATACAGGAGAAACCAGTATTAGTTAACATTGTTATGGTTTTTATGTTCAGTGAGTCAAGCAGATAACTCAAAAGTATTCATTAAAAAAAAAAATAGAAAATTCCTAGTTGCATTGAATGTGATTTTTGCCATGTGGAACTTTGTCTTATGATCACTGCAGTAAGAGGAGGAATTAAATTCCGCTTCTTCTGAGTGGGTTCACAGTTAAGGAATATACTCAGAAGTATTATTCCTTTTATGTGAGCCATAAGCACATAGACTTCTGATCTAAAATATGTGGTTCTTCTCCCTATGTGTGCTTTTCTCCGAGCTCTTTGATATGTGGCAGTGAAACATAGTCTTCCATCTCTGTTGGAGTCTGGGACCTCATCATGACTTTCTTGGTCCCACCCTAAAGAATTTCAGCATGGACACTTGCGTTTTGAGTATCACTGGAGTTTGTGTTTGAGCATTATAACTTGGGTTAACATTTATCTCTAAAAGAAGCCCCATAGTAACATGCTATTAGTCCTTACTTATTTTTTCGTTCATTTACCTAATAGGAGTTTAAACACACTTATGTACTGGAAAATATGTAACTCCTTCTCAAAAAACAAAAACAAAGAAACAACAATAACAACAAAAAAACACAGAACAAAACAAACCATAAGCCTTGCCTTCTGATTTTTATGTTGGACTTAATTATGTCGTTTCTCAATTGTGGATGCTTATCAGAGTTATTGGAGGAAAAACTTTTTATAACATTTGCTGGAGCCTCTATCATCCCAATTTAATCAGAATCTCTGTGCACAGAACCTGTAAGTTTTGAAAAAGACTGATGATCAGCTCTCACTGTAAAACCACTGCACTGTTAAAATGTAGCCATGGGAAGGCCATATTAACTCTACATGTGGATTTGAGAGCTAAACCTCTTAATTGGGATATTTGAGATTTTTAATCTTGCTATCTTACATAGTGTTACATAAGAAATACCAGACCAGTGCATCCCTTTTACTAATATTATGTTACATTTGTATAAAATGACTTAATTTCATAAAACGTATACACATGCATTATTTCATTATGTTCATAACTACTCTTTATTAAACAAAATTATCCCTGTTTTATAGATGAGAAAACTAAGACTCAGAGATTAAATGACCTGTCCAAGTCCTGTGACCAGTAAGTGTTAGCTGTTGAGATAGAATATAGGTTTGGTGCACTGCGTCAGTACTTTCTGAAAGACCATATAGCTGTGAATTCCTTACCTTAAAATATTTAAGAAGAAGTAAAATATAAAATTTACCAGCCCATGTGTATCCTTCTTTTGTTCTCTCTAGTATCTTAACATTCCTAAGAGGCCATTTCTATAATCCTGAACCTGATAACTATCTTTTAATAATAGACTTTGACAAATTTGTTTCTTACTTGTGCTCTTGCTTATCATTCAGAAGTCAGGCTTGACAGCCAGTGAGTTTCATTGAGGACTATTGTTGATTTATTGAGGTTTTTTTTTTTTTTTTTCTTTTTAAGTGAGAAATGTATATATTCTGTTCACTTCCCCTGCCCTATTCCTTAGTTCTTGGAATTGAACCCAGGGCATTGTTCATGCTAAGCCTAGGCTCTACCATTAAGTTATAAGCCTAGCCCTTATGTAACATTTTAATTGAACTATTTCCCATGTACAGAAAGGTATACTAGTCATAAATGTTCATTATCATGGATTTCTACAAAATGAAAATAGCTATCCAGATTAAGAAATGGAAACATCTCTCATTCATCCCCTATAAAAGAAGGAACCTATCATTCAGCTGACACATTGGTAGTTTATTCTGAGTGGGAAATAGGGTGCAATGTTTTGCAGGAATGTATTGTACAGTATTGTTGAAAAGCAGCTGCATCCAGGGAAATGGTTTGAAAAACAAGTGTTTGGCAGTATAATAGAGAAGGTAACTATTAGTGGTAAGGCTGTAGAGGGGTGAGCAGATCCTAAGCAAGGCTTGCATAGGGTAACTGAGGAAAGATAATGTAGAGCACTGATTTAGCCAGTGAATATCCTCTGTCACCAGTTTTCTTGCCTATGGAAACTTGCTACTGCTGCTTTGTCCTCTTTCCTTTGAGTTTTTACATGTAGATATTTTAAACTTCTTGTGGAATATTGGAGTTGATTTTGATTTGTGAAGATTCCTTTTGAGTGGCAGTGGGACGATCCTTGTAATGTTCTTTTGCTTTAGACATTAATGGATTTGATTCAGGGAGTGTTATTTATTATCTATACCACATTACTACCTTTTAGGATACTATTTGATTATAATAAAGATACCAGGAGGATACTTCATATTTAGTAGTATAGTTTTGTAGTATTTTTTGGTCCTCTTATAAATTTTTTAAACTCATATTCGTTATGCTTCTGCCAGATTCTCTATTTAGTGCTAGGGATATGAAAACGAACAAATAAATAGCTTCTGTCAGTTTTATCTTTGAAGTGTGAAGAAAGGTATTGTTTCTGGTTATCTTAAAAGATTGTTTTTGTCTTTAGAACTCTGTCATTACTACTTTGCTTTGGGATCTTAGTGTAGTGCTTATTCAGTCTTTGATTCAACAGCAGTCCAAACTTGAAAGATTCTACTCTGAAAGACTCATTTCCATGGCTGCCAATGCTGTTGTTTACCATCTTGATGTCACATGAAGCTAAGTTTTATATCCTTTCTAAGTGCCTTATCTTATGTGTTTTTTTTTCATATTATCCTTGAAAACTTTCTTTTTCTGTATCACATTTGAATATAGCATGATTTAAAAGTAAAATGGGCTCTAAATTAGTCAGAATGTCTAATATCAGGATCCTTGAGTTAATCTTTCCAGGCCAGTGATTTCCAAGAACTACCCTGAGAACATCTAGTGATTTTAACTCTCTGGACCTGTCCCTGCCCACAGACGCGTGTTCACAATTGTTTTTGATGACTGGAAATTCTGCGCAATAGCTCTCATTCTTTGTTGATTGGTTTTGCCTTATACCATCAGCTTTAATTTGGACTGCACATTTTTCTTCATTAAACCAGGAATCAGTGGTGGGAAACAGCAAGATTGCATCCCTCTAATTTTTAAAAGCTAAGGCTGCTTGGTACTCTTTCGTGTAAGATTCTTTAAAGTTCTCTATGTCATGTCAAGTTACTGTCTGAGTTTTTTTTCCTTTTGGAAATCAAGGTGAATTTACTTTATGTGTTCAGGAGTTAACTTCGGATGTTAGGAATAGGAGACATAATTTCCTTAGAAGGCAGGAAAGATATAACTGTTTCTGAACCAGATCAGTTCTTTTAGGTTCAGTGTTTTAAGCTTTGTAATTTGAAATATTTATATATTTCAGATATAAATTATCTTGTAGCAATTGCTTCAGAATATCCCCACTTATCTCAAGAATAATTTGCCTTGAAATAGGCAGGTAGTGGAAGATGGCAGAGTACTTTCATGAAAAGAATTTAACAGGTGTATTTATTTTTTAGGTCTGTTTATTTTGAAGCTTTAAAACATTTTAAAGTTAAGGGCCATCAGTGATTTGATCAGAGAGCCCTATGTTTTATAGGGTGAAACTGGGATGTGGTGGTACAAATTGACAAGGGGATGTGTCCTGTTATCCAGAAGAGAAAAACTGAATTGAAACAGTGTTAGACCACAGCTAGCTCACTATTTGGAAGTAAGCAGGGATTTTCCTAAGATAAAGAGGAAGTATGACATTTTATGGGCTTATTAACACTTTCCCTCTATTTTGTTAGTTATCATACCTGGGTGTTATTTTGTGAATCTAACTATTATGTAGATGTAGATTTGAGAATAGAGAAGTGGGATCAAAAGATAGAAAATTGTGGTTGGCTTTTGGACAGAAAGGGTAAAAGCACACAAACACAAAACCAGTGGGGGTGGTGGGGACTTTGGGTATGGTAAGACTGTCCTAAACTTTGTAATGTAAATATATGTATGTCTCTCCCATTTGGCAAGACTTTCTGCGGTGTTCCTGCCTCTGTGTTGTTTGCTAATTAGATTGTAATGTCTGAAAGACACTCTCCTGTTCTGCTTAGCCTCTAGTGTAGTCTGGTGTCTGCAGTGGTTGCCCACTACTGTTAGTTGATGATGATTAGTGAAGCTGAAGCTATTTTTTAAACAGGGCCCAAGGGATGCAGACAGTGATGAAAACGACAAAGGTGAAAAGAAGAACAAGGGTACGTTTGATGGAGATAAGCTAGGAGATTTGAAGGAGGAGGGTGATGTGATGGACAAGACCAATGGTTTACCAGTGCAGAATGGGATTGATGCAGACGTCAAAGATTTTAGGTTTGTATGTTTTACACTTCTGATTTTTTTAAAATGGGGGCTGTGGGTTTTTGTTTGTTTTGATTTACTTATATTTTACTCCTCCCCCCTTCCCCCATCATGTTTCCTTTTTAAGAATTGCATCTAGTATAGGCCATGCCCAAAGATGTAAATTAGCTGGTAAGGTGGAATTTTTTAAGAGTTGTTATTGCCTGATGCTTTGCCAAAATGGTAGATTCTGCATTTGTATAGAGCTCTAGAATTTACTCTATACAAATGATTGATAAAATTTGAAGATTCATTAAGATTGTCTCTTATCCTGTAAAGATCATCTCAGTAATTCTCAAATGGCAAAATCACCAGGGATAGGTACCTTGGAACTTTGCCCAAGTTTCTCCTATAATACTGTGTTAAAGAGTTGTGGTTATTAATGAAAGTGTGTCATATCCCTCTGACACATTAGAAGAATAGTTGAGAACCCATGCATTACCTCATTTGAGTTTCATAAGATCATTTTGAGGTAGGTGGGTGAGGTATCACTTTCCTCACTTTGAATATCCAGAAATGTGGCTTAAATGACTTGTTGTTAAACATATCCCTTCCATGGATACCTCTCATCCCTCCTGTGGTTATGATTTATTAGCAGATTTTACCTTGTGATTTAATATACACAGTATTATTTATCTTCCATGGTTGGCAGATATTTCTTCTTTATGTATGATAACTTTAGTTATGGTACATAATTTTTAAAATCTGTAAAAGTCACTATTTAGTGATATATGGTCAATCATTTAATGCCAGACTGAAGCTAATGGGTGTGTATTTTCATCCCCCCCCCTCCCTCCCCCCCTCTGTCTCTCTCTCTCTCTCTCTCTCTCTCTCACACACACACACACGCACACACACGCACACACACCATCCTAACATCTGCCAAAGTCAAAATTAAAATGTATGTTTTATCATTTGTAGAACAAGTGCCAGTTGATTAATATTTCTAATTCATTATCTTGAATGTGTATAGAATTATAGTATTTGAATGTAATCTGATGCACAGGGTGATAAACATTTTCTTAAGGTCTTTCAGAGTTCAGGTGGTCTCTCTACCCTGAATTTCAAGCATCCAATAGCAATATTTTGGGATATTTAATGGGGGGGAGGAGGAGAAGGAAGAGGAGGTGGAGGAGGGGGAGAAGTAGAAGTGGTGATGATATATATATATACACACACACACACACACACACACACACACACACACCACCTACATGATTCCTTTTAGGTATGAAGGGCATTGCTGTATTCCCTCGACATTGTATGTTAGTTTGATTGTAGATATTGTCATCTTGCAGTTCCGTACATAGCATGGTGGTATATCTCAGGATACCTAGAATAGGACTCATTTATAACTATGTCCCAGGTAATTATGCAGTAGTGCTTTTTTTTTTGGTTCTTTGATGTGTCCTGGTTTGGATGATAAATTATACCTTTATCAGTTTTGATTTTAAGAATTATCTTGTTATCAGGGACATATCATAAATAATGGATTAGTTTTTACTATTTTGAGATGGTCTGCTTCTGGTTTCTTGGAAGGGAAAGAGAGTTTACCATTGGTCAGTAATACCAATCATACTTTTTGAAGAATCACTCTGAGATGGGGAATTTCTCCTATAAACCAACTTCTCGCGTTGGTTTTATATTTATGAGAGTAGATGTTGCTTTTGGGGGCCATATTTTACTATGTGTGTCTTGGTAGGTACCTCTGTTTTCATGGATGCCACAGGCAGCAATTCTTTCAATTTATATATTCCTGAAATATGGACTTAATTGGTAAAGGGATTGTAAACTAATAGCATTTAATGTAATTTAAGGGGCGGGAAGGTGGGAAGGCAGGCAATAGAAGCATCATTTCAGAGGATATTACCTGTAAGCACCATAAAGGATCTCTGGGTATTTTTTTGAAATAGCTTTAAACATTGTTAATAATGAGCTATGTCAAGGACATTGTCCTTAAACATGGGGTTGCTATAGTGTCCTTCCCTGCTCAAAATAAGGTTTAATGCCCTTTACTTTCTCTGTTTAGCCGTACCCCTGGTAATTGCCAGAACTCTGCTAATGAAGTGGATCTTCTGGGTCCAAACCAGAATGGTTCTGAGGGCTTAGCGCAGCTGACCAGCACCAATGGTGCCAAGCCTGTGGAGGATTTCTCCAATATGGAGTCCCAGAGTGTCCCCTTGGACCCCATGGAACATGTGGGCATGGAGCCTCTTCAGTTTGATTATTCAGGCACGCAGGTGCCTGTGGACTCAGCAGCAGCAACTGTGGGACTTTTTGACTACAATTCTCAACAACAGGTACTGTGTGTGTCTCTGTCACCCTTTCTATTCTCCCTCTAGCCAGCACATTATTCAGCTTCTTAAAATGAGGGGATGGGGGAGGGTGACATGATTTTAGATTGTCATTAGCCAGCCCTGTTAATCCTTACAGTGAAGTGGGGGTTTACAAATTCTGTCTTTCCCCTCAAAAGCTAGTTCTCATGGTGCTGTTAATTGGCAAGAGAGCACTCTGCTCTTTGTATACTTCCTTTGGCTCTTCTCTCTCTTCATCACTTGGAGATTGGGTGAGGTGACCTTACCCCTTGAATCACAACCTTCTGAGATGCTGAATTACTTTCCTGGAAGATATATATAGTTGTGATGCTTCTGGATTGTTTTGTTTTTAAAATAGTGAGCTATTACCTACCACCATCAGGAGTGCGTTGCCAAATCTTCTCATCAGTCTTGACTTTAAGTTAGTTACTGTAGATAACACTGGTAACAGTCTGCTACCTTCAAAAGTTAGAATGTGATTAAAGGAAAACACATGTAAATAATTCTGTTAGATCTGTAGTGAAATTACTTAGTCCTTTTCTTTTATTCAAATGTTTCTGGGAAATTTTTGTATGTGTATTTTCTGCTTTTGAAGGCACAGTAGGGCCAATTTGAGGGCTTAGTGATTCTTCTGTTTGGTTCTTTTTAAGAAAAATCAGCTGTCTGAACTATAAAAGGAGAGCATGTAGTTTCATCATCTTGTTGAGTACCACAAAAGCAGTTTGGTGGACCATGAATTTCTGTTACTCCTTAGTTTTTGACTGGAACATAAATATAGACTTTTAGTTTTGAGAGACTGGAGTTTACAAATGCTGTTTCTATTGGGAAATGAGCTTATGGTTTTTTGAGATTAGTTGTACCACATTTTATCTTTAGTTTCTGTCATAAATAGATTTTTGATTGATAAGACAACTAGATAACAAAGCTAACTATATGAAATTTACCAAAAGAAATTTATTTGTGTATGTGAATGTGTATGTCTATGTAAGTTTTCTTTGGCTAAGAGGTAAGACAGTACTGGGTATTGAACCCAAGGCTTTGTGTATGCTGAGCCAGTGCTCTACCACTGAGCTACACCCCCAACCCTAAGTTTTTATTTAGCAGACTTTTTCCCATAGAGGTTAACTGCAAGCACTCCCTGTAGATCCCTAGCAGGTGGCCTACCTTGATAAAAAATCAACTTTCTGTGCCTTTTCTTTATGACCATTATTGATTCAATGCTTCCATTTCCAGTCTAACCCAACCTCACCCTTGTTATTTAAAAAGAATTTGTCTTTCATCTCTTATGAACAAAAATCTGGTTCTCTTTTTCACTTAACTGTGGGGAGTTAGAATTCTTTTTGATTTATTGATCTCTGGTTTCAAAATAATTTTTTCAGGTTTTGGGAGGCTGGATAATTATTGGGATTTGAACAGAAACTTGATTATATCAAAGTTGTCTTATTCAGAAATACAAAAGTAGGAGTGGCTTTACTGTGTGCCCTATTTTAGCACTAAGCATCATTATTTTCAAAATCAATCCGTTGTTGGGGTTCTGGCTTCCCATAACTATATTAGCCGATGTGGCAAGGGGTATATTTATAGTTACACCACTGTCGTATGATGTGATCATTGTCGTTTTGTATTGTTTTTTTTTTTTTGCGCGTAGATTGTTTTACCCATTCTTCCACTGGACACTCTGATAACATACCTGGAAACCACTGTCCCAAGACTTCAAAGTATCTTAAGGAACTTCAGCTTCCCAAAGCTTCCTATAGAGAGCCATTATTTAGAAGGAAGAATTCCGTTTCTACTGGAAATTGGTGCATTTTCTTACATTTTACCCTTCCGATCTTTCTTCCTATTGCTTTTCATCATGTTTTATTCCATTCTCCATTTCCAATTTAAATCCTAATTTTTCAAGGTCTCGCACTGTTAACCTCCTTTCTTTATCTCCAAACCAAACATTTTTCATGCCGGCCTGCCTTAAACTTCATTTTACTTTGTATCTCCTCCAGAAAAGGAGTTACCTGTGTTCTGCCTTGTGTTGTGATTCTTTGTCTGATAGCCCGTGCTGGATTGTGAGTTCCTTGAAAGCAAGAACTATTCTCTGCCTTGCTAAATTTTCAGGGAATTATTATATCTCTGTGTTTCTCCTGAATTTAATATACTTCTCCAAATTAAAATTTGAACCTGAAAAATGACCATAGTATACTTAGGGAAATTACTGGAAAGTTATTGTGTAATATCCAATAATATAATATTACTATATGATATCCAAGAAAGTTATTTCCTAGATCAGAAGTTGTCCTTTTTAGGGTTGCTCTGTTGCCATCTGATAAAAAGCCAAGGTCCCTTTTGTCATAAAAAGTACATTTTTTTTTTTTGACACGGTTTTGTGGAAAGTGTAGAGGGATCACAGGTTGTGGGCTGTAGATTATAATCTCTAGCTAGCGTTTCTTTTCATCTGTAGCCAGGTGTATCTTTCATGAATATAGCAAGATTCCTTACATGGTGGAAGGATTTGCTATTTGCTCTTATTTCAGTGATTGTGACTCATCTTGTCATTTAAATAGTGCAAGGAAGCACTTGATGATGAGTAATGAGACCCTACATGTATATGTCCTGGGAACTTTAGAGTACAGCAGAGTGTGCGCTGGTCTCTGAGGAAGGAAGGATTGTTGGATGGAAGTGTTTGTTGAACTGTGCCTTGAAAGACTTGATTAGATAGGAGAATGAAATTTTCATGTAGGAAACAGTAAAACTAAAGCTAGAAATAGGAAATTAACAGAAAGGTGTTTAACAGATAGTGGAGATGTGGTCAGCCTGACTAGGAGTCTAAATTGAAGAGAAATGACGAAATGTGTTTAGTAAATAGTGTTGTGTCTTACCAGTTCTGTTGTGCTGCCTTATAGGCAATGACAAAACATGTTTAAGGAGGAATGTAATAATTATCATGATGTTTTTTGTTTTGTGCAAAGATTGAACCCAGGGGCATTCAAACATTGAGCCACAACCTCAGCCCATTTTGCATCTTATTTTGAGACCGGGTCTCAATGAATTGTCGAGGTTGGTTTGGAACTTTCGATCCTCCTGCCGTGGCCTCCTGAGTCCACGGGATTACAGACATGTGCCACTGCACCCAGCCGTTTGTGTGTGTGTGTATAGGCGCATGGGCGCTGTTACATAGAAGTAGTTTTAGACATTCTCTGGCCCATATTAATCAATTAACCATTCACTGTTGTGTCCTTATCTGTATGAAACAGTTGTGAAATATTTGAGGAATTATGCGCTAATCTAATTGATCATAAATGTTACCAGACAGGGGAGAGCTCAATTAAGATCAAGAGAAACGTGAAAAGACAGTTGGAAAGTATACCCTTGCCAGTAATAGAGTATGGAGATGGGAATGGTAGTGGCGTGGTCCCAGGTAGACTGTAGACTAGAAGAAGTATAGAAGACAAGGAGACTTTTGGTAATTGGTCCACGTCACTGAGCCCTTGAGAACCAGGAACAAGTCTCAGATGATACTAATAATGATTGTGGGGGTTCAAAACATTGATCTAGAGTGGCACATATTTTGCTGCAGATCTGCTCTTTGATTTTGGCTTCCTTCAGTGAGGAAAGGAAAGGGATGGTCATTTTTGAGTTATTTGCTACAAATAGTAGTGTAGCTTTATTTGTGATTTTATGCGTGGATATGGTTTTGAAATTGACAAAATAAAAATTCTCTTGTCCTGTTGCTTTTCAGTCAGGGCTTTCATATGGTGTAATAAGTTCGTTTCATAAAACTTAATATCAATCTATAGTGAGATACATGCCATGGAACAGCCTGCAAATATGGAAATGGTAATTTTCATTTAGTTCATTGTGTACTTTGGGGTTTGTATAATTAAGTTGCTTGTCTGGTCACTGTTAATCATTCTGAATTAACCCATCTTAATTGTTCTCAACTAATCCTTCTAAGATTTAATTGTAAGAGCCATAGTTCTTAACTTTTTAAAAGCGCTATGAACTCTTTTAGCAGTTAGGTGAATCTGTGGACTGCTTCTCAGAATAATGTTTTAAAACACAGAGTGTTTGTGTGCACATTGTGTAAGAAAGATTACAAAGAAAACTGATTATATAAAAATAGGTGGGTGTAATGGTGCATGCCCTAAATCCCTAGCAACCTGGGAGGCTGGGGCAGGAGGAATACAAGTTCCAGGCCAACCTCAGCAATTTCATAAGACCCTGTCTCACAATAAAAAATAAAACAGGCTGGGGATGCAGCTCAGTGCTAGAGTATCCCTGGGTTCAATCTGGAGTACTGCGAAAAAATAAAAATCAAAAGATATTCAAACCAAACTTAATGGTATATTTGCTTTTTTATCATATGATACATGAAATAAAAGTAGGTATGTTAGCTATCATAGCGAGAATGAAGATTTTGAAATGCCTGTAGTAATCAAAAAATAACATAAAATACCTATTATCTCTCCTTTCCCACTCCTTACCCAGTATTGGGGTTTGCACCCAGGGCACTCTACCACTGAACAACATCCCTAAGCACTCCTTCACTTCTTCCTGTCTTCCTGCCTGCCTTCCTTTTCTTGGTCTCTTTAGGTTGCCAAGGCTGGTCTTGAATTTATGATCTTCCTGCCTCAGCCTCCTGAGCTTCTGGAATTATATAGGTGTGTTTCACCATGCCCAGCTCCCCTGCCCCCATTGGTGAAAGTCACATGTGTATGGCTAATGTTATTTTGTATTTTTGCCTAATCATAATTGAAGAAAGCGATGACTTTCAGATAGATTTCCATGAAAAACAAAAATGCAATGTTACCCACTTAAGACAAACATTTTGGGTTAAGAACCCTTAATTGAGGGCATTTTGTCAACTTGAAATGTTCATTGATGTCTCTGGAGTCTTCTTTTTTTTTTTTTTCACTTTCCCTAATTGCCACCTTAATCCTGGAAAACAGTCCTGAATAATTCTTGCATTGTGTGTTCACACCATTTTGTTTTTA